CCCCCCGGTGCCCGCGCAGCTGCCGCCTGGCAGCACGGCCCCTCAGGGGACACCAACACAACGGCAGGCTTGTTCCAGGTCAGCCGCACCAGCCCCAGCCGAAAACCCAGCCTGGAGCCACCGCAGCACTCTGTAAAGTGGCCAGCAGGCTCCTCGCTCGCCTTCCTCAATGCCCAGGGGGTTGCAGAAGGCAAACAAAGGGGATCTGCATCCTAAATGGGGTGCGCCAGTGCTACCCCACTGCTGGAGCTGGGCCAGCCCTCTGCACCGGACCCAGCCCCAACGCAGTGTGGAGCCCCAAGCCAGGATGTGGATGGGGCTGGGGGTTGTGCCCAGCGCCCCGCAAGCCTGGCAGGAGGAACCGAATGGGGCTGGGGGTTTCCTGGCACTGGGACGTTAACACCCGCATCCATGCTGTGCCGTCAGGTGCTGCCCCGGAGCGCTGCCCAGCACTCTGCCATGCTTTGTCTCTCTGTCCTTCCTGTCTCCTTCCCTCTGTCCCATGGGCAGTGTGGAGGAGGAGCGGTATTCAACAAGAGCTTGGCGCAGGGTGCTGCAGCATCCCCATGATGCTGCGGGTGGGGGGACCGCTCAGTTCTGGGGAGGTGGGTCCCCATCCCGGCTGGGGGCATGTCCCTGGCTCCTCTCCACCGCTCCAAGACAGCGACGACGATGCCCTCCTCTGCCATGCACACAGGACTGCCATCATCCAAACCGACCCTCCGGCAGGTGGGCAATGCCTAAACCTTCCCCAGAGTTGGAGGTTTCCCAGCAAGGGCAGACTGGCAGGGTCAGTGTACAGAATCGCAGGCTCAAAGTGCTGCCCCATCCCCAGTGTAGGCACTTCTCGGTGGCATCTGCGTTGGCACGTATCATCCTCAAGGCTCCCAGGCCTCAGCGGGACAGGGGGGGACCTGTCCTTCTCCCCCGTGCCCCACACTGGGCTCTCAGGACCTCATCGCTCTCACCCATGAACCTGCGGAGTTCATGGGTGAAAAGCAACGGCAGAGTCCAGACAGTGCCACCTCCCAGCTGCCAGCTCTGCTGGGCACTGGGGCAGCTCCCCGGGGTGCCCAGGCTGGGCAGCCACGTCCCCGCGGTGCCACCTGGCCCCGTCCCATGGTCGGCATGTCCCGCGGGTGCAGCAAGGGCCCTCAGGAGACGACACAGCAGCACTTTCTGTAGCAGGGGCAGCACTTGAAGCAGCCGCAACCTCCGCACGCCCT